GGATATGAAAACACTAGACATGGAAATGGAAAATGCTAAACAATCTCTCTTGTTTTGTGTAAATTCACAGATTATGATCTCTATAAACTTTCATTAAAGATAAGATAATGATACTTTTATTATTATTAACTTCATTGGTTTACAAGGGTTCACATACATTATTCCAGAAGCCACATAAATGAATGTAGTTTCATCAGCTTCCTTTAACTTCCTGTTAAAAAAAGGATCATTGGCTCAAGCAGCCACAGTTTTAATTACTCAAAAGCTTGTAAACTGGAATATTGGAAGATGCAATAACTTTTAGGTCAAATAAACTAAATAACAAATGCTTCAATTAAATAAAATGTGAAGAAGCACTTTGTAACATCAAACTTGCTTTTAAAAAATTGCACAATTTTTAAAAACTGAGGTTTTTTTAGAATTGAATCAGTTCAAAGCAATAAAAGGTCTATTTTACTCATAAAGTAGATCTACCAGTATGTAATATTTTAAAACTGAGATCATGTAATGTAAGTTTTCAAGAATTAAAAGTAATGGAATTATATGGGTTATCCGGTATTTTCTATGAGTATCTTGGGACATTAAGTGTAGATATTAAAACTGATTTCTATGCAAAAAGGGATCCCAAAACATGCCAACATTTTAGTAGGATCAAAAAATCCTCTCAAGTCCAAAAGAAGTTGAATTCCGTAGAAGCCAGGAACTGAAAGTTAAGATACATGCCCAATGACAAGCTGAAAGTATGAAAAATTAAATCATCTTGCCCAACTCAATAAAAGTTACAGGATGCCTTTGTAATAAAAAATGTATACTGTTAATTCATTGAAAATAATGTATAAGAATAAATGTTAGCAAGGCCTCTCAAACCAATCAGTGTCAGAGTCATTATTAATCAAATTTATTTTACCCCTTTTAAAAAATTTGCTGGGTAGAACCTTTATTTGCAACTAAACAGGATATAAGTACAAATCTTGGAGCTATGAATTTTTCCTTATAAAATGAGGAATGTGAAATGTGTAAATTCAAGATTAAAAGTCATAACAAACAATTTATACTTGTATAAATTGTTGCTACAACTATTAATATCAAGTCTGTCTCCAAACTTTTATTAAAATAAAGTTTGGAATATAAATGTTCTCTCTAACTTTAACATATCAAATATTATTTGAATATATTACAGCCTTCTATTCTGTCCCCACTGGCGTAATTATTTTAGTGTTTCAATTATACAGGACAGAGATTTTAAGTCATTGTAAAAAGAAAAGTGATATTTCATATATATACAGTATCATATTAATGAGGATAGGGATAAGATGCAAAGTAATTTTTTAACTTTCTCCTCTGAGAAGTTAATTTTAACCAGTAGTTGCTTTAAAAAATGTAAATAATTCAGCTTTAGTTGAATGTTTTACCAATATCCCATATAAAAGACAGTAATGACAAATGAAGCAGTGGCTTTTATAGAAGTAAAATATAAATATAAATTTGTTCTAGAAAAGTGTGATCCAACCATATATATTTAGGACTGTTGTGCTTGCTCCTTGGAAGTTTTGTTGTTTTAACCATTGTTAAAACATTGTTGTTTTAACCATTTAGTCGTGTTCGACTCTTGGCGATTTTATAGGCAACGCGTGCACTCACAACCAGTGAACCCTTTGTTAAACTAAGTGCAGCCCACCTCTGCCTAGGCAGCATATTAAAAAGCAGAGACATCACCTTGCCGACAAAGCTTCATGTAATCAACACTATGGTTTTCCCAATAGTAATGTATGGCTATGAGAGTTGGACCATAAGGAAGGTTGAGAGTCAAAGAATTGATGCTTTCGAATTGTGGTGTTGGAGAAGATTCTTGAGAATCCCTTGGACTGCCACATCAAATCAGTCAATCCTAAAGGAAACCAACCCTGACTGTTCTTTGGAAGGACAGATACTGAAACTGAAGCTCAAATACTTTGGCCACCTAATGAGAAGAGAGGGCTCATTGGAAAAGATACTGATGTTGGGAAAGACTGAAGCCAAAAGGAGAAGGGGATGGCAAAGGATAAACTGGTTAGATCAGGGTTGAGGCTTGTGGCCCGTGGGCCAGATGCATCACACACTGGCCACGTCCACGCACAGTTTAGCAAAGGGGGAAAAAGTCCCAATATGTCATGTGATGCTGCCGTGATGACACGAGTTTTACACCCTGGGTTAGATAGTGTCATCAAAATAAAATAAAAATGAATTTGGACAGAACAGTGGAGGGCAGGGGATCCTGGTGTGCTGGGCTCCATGGGGTTGCGAAGAGTCAGGCACAATGTAGTGACTGAACAACAACAAAACATTGATAAAATCAAATCTGATAATATATATTAAAAGGTGATCTTTTAAAGATTTATATTTCTTCTATCAATTTAGAAAGTTGAAATAAAGTTATAGCATGCCTTACATAGTTGATAGGTGTCTTGTCAATTATTTATCCTACAGCTTTAAGCATAATTTGAACTTTGTTTATACTTACATTTCAAAGTGATTTTTAGTTATGTGGGAAATAGAGATTCTAAAAAAATTATCTAGATATATAGTAGACAATAATTTTCTTTCAGCTTGGAGCTAAAAACACAATTACTGTTTAACATTGACTCTGCAAGTGAAATGTAATATATGGAAAAAGGAGGTTGAGTATTTTCTTGTTTCCTTGATGTGAAGGCTTTTCCTTTTTGAAAGATATCCAGCTGAGAAGTAAAAAGGCATATCATATCCCACTTGTCACACTTTTGCTGAACTTGGCAAGTAAGATATCAAGAAGTGAATCAGAGAAGGGGTTTGAATAAAATTCCACTTAGATATGGAAATTGTTTCTATCATTGGAATCTCTAATGAATAAAATTGGAAAAAGTTCTGGGTCCCAAAGCAAATGAAAAATAGGTAAGTTTGACAGTTTCCTATAAATTTTGGCAGCAGTCATGTAGCTGTCTATTAAGCAAGAATGAAGAATAATAATTAACATGGTAGAACTTGTCATTTAATTAGCAGAACTTAACAATATATACACTGCTCAAACAAATAAAGGGAACACAAGCAGAAGACATCCGAGATCTGAATGAATGAAATAGCCTTATTAAATACTTTCTTTGTTACATACAGTAGTTTTGTGTTACCTTTAGTTGTTTGAACAATGTATAAACTACTGTATGTAAAGAACAAAGTATTTAATAAGGCTATTTCATTCATTCAGATCTCGGATATCTTCTGCTTGTGTTACCTTTATTTTTTTGAGCAGTATATAATGTGTTGAATGATCTGGCTATCAAGTACTTCTACCCAGGGTAGAGAAGCTTATATTGTTATTGTGAAAGCCATAACACAACTGCTGAGCAACAAAAGGAATTATTATTATATCAAAAGATCATCAAATTGCTATAATTTCCATATCTCTTTGTGGTTACACTGCTGTGATGCATTCTATATGAGACCATTTCTGAAGATGATGCAGAAACTTCCATTGGTCCAGAATAGGGTGCCTATTTAGCATTGATGCTATAATTACTGCTTTGGTTACTGTCTGCTTCTCAGCTAATGACCAGCAAGCTAGTGATGCCAGCAAGATTCAGCCCACCTTCTACATTTTTTAAAAGGGAATGCTAAAAATGAAGGGAATGGGGTGAGAAGCCAGTGATGCATCTCAGGACTTTGGATAGTCTCCTGAGGTTTAAAATGCCCCCTAATGTCATTAGGAATTATTCTGCACAATAGTTAAGCAGTAAGGATCACATGGCTGCCTTTAGATAACTATTTTAGGTTTTTTTTCATTTGGTATGTTAATATCATTATTTTGGGTTACTGTACACCACCTGAATCCAAGGAAGCGTTATGTATCCTATAGTATTTATGGGGTATTTACAGGGTATTTACGAGACCGCCTTCTGCCACCAATAGCCTCCCACCAGCCAGTACGCTCCCACAGAGAGGGACTCCTCAGGGTGCCGTCGGCCAGACAATGTCGGCTGGCGACCCCCAGGGGGAGAGCCTTTTCTGTGGCAGCACCTGCCCTCTGGAACGACCTACCCCCAGAGATACGCACGATACCAGACCTCCGGAATTTTCGTCGGGCCCTGAAAACACATCTTTTTCACCTAGCAGGGCTAGGCTTCACCTAGCAGGGCTGGCTTGATCCCATCCCTTCGATTTTAATTTGTAATTGGTTTTAACCTGGGTTGTTTTAAATGGATAGCCAAAATTATTTAATGTTTTTTAAATTGGTTTTAAATTTTATATGTTTTACCATGGCTGTTCACCGCCCTGAGTCCGTTGGAGAAGGGCGGTATACAAATTAAATTAAATAAATAAATAAAAATAAATAGTGTACAAATATATAATTTTCTAGAACTGGTAACTCAACCATCAAATTGTAATATCCAATAAGTAGAATAAATTTTGAGATAAGATATGCATGTAGCATCTCCATAAAAATGCATCTCTCTCTCTCTCTCTTCCCCCCTCCCTCTCCTTCCCTCTCTCCCTCCCTCTCTTCCCCCCTCTCCCTCTGTGTGTATGTTTGTGTGTGTGTGTGTGTGCTGGCACAGATATTCTTGGGTACCTTCTGCTACAAAATATTTACTTTTCTGAAGGGAGTTGAGGTTGTAATAGATGAGAATTCTAGAAATCTGAACATTTCTCTCTTACATTAAATGATAGAATATCATTTTTAAGACTCAGTAGTAATGGACTTTTATTATTATTTTAGATTGATTGATTTTTCTTTTTTGTGTTAAGATGATGTTTTGGGAATATCAGTATGTGCACTCCACCCTCTTTGTGGTTTTTTAAAAACTACTTCATGACCCATTACAGTCATTTTCATTTATAGCAGCACTTTTATTTTATCTCACAGCTTGTGGTTTACAGTATTTATGAGGGTGGAGTGTACTGCATCAATTCACCTTCCATTTGTGTGTTGATGTGGCATTTATATTACATAGGAGTAATTTTTTTTCTGATTTTTTTTCTTGTATCACCAGTGCACCTATTCCATTCTTCCATCGCTGTGCTCCTGTGAACATTTCCTGCTATACCAAGTTTGCAGAAGCGCTGATCACCTTTGTCAGTGACAGTAGTATCTTGCACAGGCTGATTAGTGGAGTAATGACCTGCAAAGAGATTATATTGGGACTTTGCTTGTTATCACTAGGTAAATTTTTTTCTCATTCTTAGCTATTTCTGTAGTATTGAAAAACTTCTATCCCCACAATATGAAAATGACGCATGCTCATTATTAACTTACAGAATAGGAAACTTTCAAAAAATGTTTCTTATCCAGCTTCTGACTTAAATGCTTTTTAAAACGTGTGCATTGATTCTCCTTATATTTAAGTAGTGTGGAGATTTTAACTCATGAAAGCTGAATTGTTTGAAGGCACAATGTTGCATTTCCATTGTGGTAATTATAGAAATCTGACTATATAAATATACATATAGCTATATACACCTATATAGCTATATAGCTTTGCTTAACGATAAAGAACCATACACTGTAGATAAACTGCTGTAAACTCATCAGATAAATAGCAGCTATAGGTATATTAAAAACAAATTAAAAGATTAATCCTTTACCCTAAAATAAATATCAGGATTGCCACTACTTTAATGCAAATGCCCAAATACTATTGTATTCAATAAAGGGAACTTGACTTTTTTTTTTTTTGGGGGGGGGGGGGGGGGTAAGATGTACCATTCACTGTTTGAAAAGAAACACTGGCTTTTATATAGCATAACTCAACTAACCACATAGTAAATAAATAAGCAGGCAAGCATGTTTTTGTTTTCCAATTTAAGTATCCTTTCACTTAAAATGAATTTAATTTATTAATTTAGATTAGAATCAATAGGTGGAAGGAAGCAACATATCCATGGACATTTTTCACATGTCCCAAATTGGCCTCTTTGCAGGGACAAACAAAATATCCAAACAAACTTGTTGCAATGAAACAAACTGAAAGAATTAACCAAATGCAGATAAGAATACATAATAGACTGCATCCAAGCCTGAATATTATCTGTCGGCTCATTTTGGCATGATTATAGTTCAATAAGGAGTCCATAATGAAAGCAGTACAAGCTTATTTGTCTATATTGACATTATTTTGTTTATTTTATGGACAACAGTCACACAGTGAAATAGAAAGAATTCACACAGCTATAAAACACTACATCTCCTTAAAGTTTATATTTTATTTCAAATATTCAAGGGCAAAGATTTGATATAGTTTTAACTATACATTAACTACGCACGGTCACTCATGCCCTCGTCACTTCCCGCCTTGACTATTGTAATGCTCTCTACATGGGGCTCCCCCTGAAGAGCACCCGGAGGCTCCAACTGGTCCAGAATGCGGCCGCGCGGGTGGTTATGGGAGCGTCATGGCGCTCCCTTGTAACACCTCTCCTGCGCGAGCTGCACTGGCTTCCGGTGGTCCTTTGGGTGCGATTCAAGGTATTGGTTACCACCTTTAGAGCGCTCCGTAGCTTAGGACCCGGGTATTTACAAGACCGGCTGCTGCTACAAATAGCCTCCCACCGGCCAACTCGCTCCCACAGAGAGGGGCTCCTCCGAGTGCTGTCAGCCAAGCAATGTCGACCCCCAGGGGGAGAGCCTTCTCTGTGGGGGCTCCTGCCCTGTGGAATGAATTGCCCCCCGAAATGCGGAGGATTCCCGACTTGCTCACCTTCCCCTGGGCCCTTAAGAAGCTCTTATTTCAACAAGCCGGGCTGGCCTAATTTTTTAAATTTTATTCTTCTTAAATTATTTAAATTGGGTTGTTTATTTTAATTACGGGCCAAACTATTTAATACTTTTAGACTGTTTTTTAAATTTTATATTTGTGGGTTTTATGCTGGCTGTACACCGCCCTGAGTCCCTTTGGGAGAAGGGCGGTATATAAATTAAATTAATAAGAATAAGAATTAGAATTAGTGTGCATAGTATTGTTCAACCAATTAGCTGATCTTTCAATCATATAGTTGAGAGTCCAGTCCTAATTAAAAATTCTTAACTCTGTATAGACTTGATTGTTAAAGTAAATATGATGATAATAAGACAGAACTGCCCTTTGTATGGTCTTACATTGAGCAAATAGCTCTGAATGAAAAATATTCATTAAATATTCCGTATAATACACACCATACACACACATACCAGATGATAATAAGATTTAGGGTTATTTGCAATGACTCAGAATTCATAACTTTCTAAAGCCATTCATTTTGAGATGATGATAAAACATGTAGCAGTGTGATAATTACATTTGTTTCATCAACATAGTGGATTGAAAAAAACTTTTTAATCACTTGAAAGCCTTTACCTCTCTGCATATTTATGTCAATGGGAAATGAATATCCTCAAACTTGATGAATATTGATAATCTCAGCTAAATTAGCAAATGAGCAAAAGTGTATAACTTAATCTTCTCCACAGTATCAGTGCTTGCTTAAGTACATTAAAGATCACATTTCGGAAACAGTTCACCCATGCATTCCTCAGTTTGCTAATACTTGCTAAATATTACATATTCATTATGCTGCAATTTATGTTTATGTATTTATGTGCACTTGAACACACATTCATACATAATTTAATATAATTCATTACTTCTAATGTTAATTACATTAAAAGTAGTATCCCTGCCAAATGATACATGCAGTCCAGAAGGAGTTGCAACTTTTCATGTTCTTCTAAGCCACCCTATTTATTGTTGGCATTTTAGATATGTTTCAGTATGAAACAAAATACCACAAACAATATAGTGAAAAGGCAGGATTTTCACATTCCAAACAAAATATGTAAGAGTTAGCTAAATGAATCACCCTGATCAAATTGAAGCATAAAGTACTCCGTGCTTCTCCTCACAGTTTTTACATCCTTATTCATCTTTGACATGATGTTAAGCATGTGTGTCTGCATGCAACGTTTTGGGTTTTGCTCACCATGAGTTGTATGATGCTTTTGCAACTCATGATAATAAATGTGCTGTTCTATCATGTCATTAATTTTTTGTCATATGTGCCTGCATCTCTTTATCTTCACATTGTTGTACAGAAGAGTTAAAGATAAATGCAAAAAAAAATTTTTTTTTAATTATATTATGGCAGCCGTTATTTTTGGCTATTTGTGATTGGAGTAATTAATCTGCCTATTCTATTTTGTTTCTCTACAGTGCTTTCCATGATTTTGATGGTGATAATCAGATATATTTCAAGAGTACTTGTCTGGATCTTAACAATTGTTGTTGTTTTGGGCTCACTTGGTAAGTAAATGAAGGTATTCTGTCGTCTCTTCCAACTCTGTTACTGTTACATATGTGTGCCTTTCCTCATAAGTTTAAAACTTTTTTTGGACTGCAGAATCATTTTGCTTTTGTTTCATCAGTTTTCTCAAAACCATTCTCTCTGCTTTATGATAATTGAAATAATCAGAAAAAGCCTCCACTTCCATGCTTCCTTTATCATGTGATCCTGACAATAAAGTAATGAAAGGGATAACTGTTCAAATGTTAGTTTAAAGGCCATATGTAATGGCCAGCATAGTGAAGAATATAATTGGTGTTGCTATATTGGAAAGTAACCCTGGAACTGTTTTAACTACCATCTGAAAAACAGAACAGGCTTTTTTTTTTTATTGATTTAGAGTAGAGGATATTTCCAGATAGCATTAAGAACAAGTTTAGGCATTACATTTGCCAGAGGAATCTATCCTCAAAACAAACCTTTTCCACTGCAAACCTTAGGAGTTAAAATAACCATTTCATGAGTTTCACTATAGACTACATCAGTGTTATTTATTGACAAGAATGAAAACAGTAACTTGGGCCCTGGGATGAGAAATGTCTCTAGTAGTTCCTTCTACCCTATCCATTTAAAATTTGGGGGGTGGGTGGGGGGGGGGGGGAATATCAAAACAATAAAACATATATTCTTACCTTTTTCACATACCATCACCATATCACTGCCTGTCTCCCAAGCCATTTTTATATGCTAGAAGATTTGGGGGTAGGAAATACTTGGTAGCAGTTACAAGTCAAACTAGATTTTGTGAGGATGGCTCAGTATACATGGTGAATTATATACATAGGATAGACATTTCAGTCCTGTTTTTGATGTATTGTTTTAATCTGTTAGACTTTAAAACTAAAGTCATGTCAATCATGGAGACTATAATGAGCTTTCAATATGTTGTTCTAATTTTCCTAAACATTACAGAGCCTATTTTCTTGTAGACAATTAGAAATAAAGTGCTTAAACATGGTGGCCAAAGAAAAATTATATATCAAATCAGATTCTAGAATTAGAGCATTTATGAACTGACATTTCACTGCTTAGTAAATTGGCAGTTTCTTTAGCTGTTGCATATGATCCAACTAGCCCATCTGTTGAAAACATACAGTTCAGATGAATGACCAGTATTATTGAGAAAAATAAAGTAAAAATTTACTTTATTGAGAAACAAACATTATTAAGAAAAATGAAATATAAATAAAACAAGATAAAATATTATAGTGGGTTGTGGGTATATCAGAAGTTAATAAAAGTTTGCCTACTTTTGTAAGCAGTATATACAAAATGTAACTATGTTCAAAGAGACAGAATCATATTGATCTGATAACAAAAACTACATATAAAAAGATCATAATTTCCCAAGATAATTTTTATCATAGAGGGTACAGTATACGGGGGATATATAAAGTCTACACACCCTTGTTAAAATGCCAGGTTTTAGAGATGTAAAAAAAAAAAATCAAACCAAGATAAATCACTTCGGAATTCTTTCTACCTTTAATATAACATATAAGCTGTATAGTTCAGTTTTGTTTTGTTTTTTATTTGATTTATATGACGCCCTTCTCCGGAGACTCAGGGCGGCTTACAATGAAAAAACTTTACAGTTGAAAAACAAACTGAAATCTTTTAGGGGGAAAATAATAAAATGCACAATAACATGGTTACATACTGTAAGTATGCCTATCTTTACTACTTTATTGAAGCACCTTTTGATTTTATGACAGCATTCAGTCTTTTAGGGTAAGAGCCTATCAATATGGCACATCTTGTCTTGGGAATCTTTGCCCACTTTTCCTTGCAAAAGCACTCCAAATCTGTCAGATTGTGTGGGCATCTCCTGTGCACAGCCTTCTTCACCCCACTCCAGATTTTCCATTGGAATTAGGTCCAGGCTATACTGGGTCATTCTAAAACTTTGGACGACTTCTGGTAAACCCATTCTTTTCTTGATTTGGAGGTGTGCTTTGGATTGTTGTTATGTTGTTATATTATTCTACTTTTTTATTGTTATTTTTCCTCTAAATGATTTCAGTTTTTTTTCAATTGAATTGGATAGCTTATATGTTATGTTAAAGGTGGAAAGAATTCTGAAGTAATTTAACTTGATCTGATTTTTTTACATCTCAAAAACTGGGCATTTTAATGGAGTGTATAGATTTCTATATTTTCAACAACTCCTTGTCATTGGAGCACAATCTTAAAGTCATAGGGGAGTTTTTTGTATTGGCACTCCAAAACTGCTGTGGGGAGAATGTTAAGGCCAACTAGCATTAGTGCTCTTCAGAATTTCAGGACACAGTTGTGTGGTGTAGGTTTCTACTGCTTTGTAAAAAGGGACTTGACTGCTGACAAATATGTTCTTAAGTAGAGCAGACTGAACCCATTGGGCTTCCAAGTCTTTGATACATTGTTTAAAAGTACTGAGTGAATTCCACAATTCATTATTTGGAAAGCCTCCACGGAGAAGTCTGAGATATTGATGTTTTTGTAAGATAGTCCTGAACCATATCTGTTTATAATTGCCCTCAGCAACGGAAGAACCCAAACCTGAGGGAAAAGAACTATAACTTCAACCATTGTGTTGTGATATAGGTGTATGCACCTCTTTTGATTAGATAGCTTTGTCTCCCTCCTTAATACTATGTTTGGAATACAAGGGGCTACGTGAAATATAGCCCTTAGGAATTTACATTGGATACTCTTAAGAGGAGTAAAGGAAGTGTAAAGTCCTAGTTTGCCACTAAAAAAGTAGCTGTATATGAATCTTAGCTGAATAAAGTTTTGCTGGGATGTACTGTGCTGCTTCCATGAAGATAAAAAAATTGAATAGCAGCCACTGCTTTTGAGCATTTTATATCACATAATGTTAGCGTGTCTTGCATTTGGTGTAGCTATGGAAAACCATGCACAAATATTTAAAGCATTTCACTTGTTTTGATATTCTGGCCATTTATCCTCCAGGTGTACAGTTTCAGTCTTTTTGCAAAGATCAGGATCTTTGTTTTTCTATAGTTGATTTATAGTGTTTCCTCAGAGCAGTATTGGCCAGAGCTTTCAGAGCTTGTGTAAATCTAATTAATGTCTGTTAATTTTTAGATGAAGCAAGAAAAGTCCTTCCAGATCTCAAGAGTTCATTTAATTTGGAAACTTGGTTCCAATTGTGCCAGCCAGATATTTTCCAAAGTCCCACAGCACACTGCTTTTATCCATTCTATTGCTAGAATTTTCTTAGTATAAGCCCTGAAAATTATCTCAGAATATATGAGAAAACAAGCAAAAATATATTAAATCAGTATTGTCTTCTACCTGCTGCTTTACAATTTGACTAGAAGAAAAATAAATGTTGAATCCTTTTCAGTGTTTCAATGTTCACATGTTATGCCTTCTTGATTGAGGTATTATCTTTTTTGAGTGCTTTTGGATACCTAGTACAGCCTAGTTAGTGACAAACAATTTCCTCTGATGGGTGAAATGTCTGGGTAGTTATGGTGGGCAGAGAGTTTGCTCTAACAAGCAAGAATAATGCAAAGGATCACATGAAAAGCTAGAAACTATTGTTTTATCCTCCTTTTTAAAGATGGTACAGTATATATGTAGTACTCCAGATTATTTATCCAGAATTAAAGAAATTAGAAGATACAGATTGCAAATCATAGACTACCTACCACCAGCTTTACCAATAGTTAAACATTGTTTGGATTCTAAGGCTATTAGTAAGAAACTTTGGTGCTCAATTTAAGATTTCAGTCATGGGTTTGAGTCTTTTTCCAGTCTTTTTGAGGAAAGATTGATTAGCTATAATTGTCATTGTTGTCAACATGGTGTTTAATGGTTCTTTATGATTCAAAAAGGCCTTGCAGTCTGTTCTGGGAAATCATCTGTCTAAGTAGTTTGTGTACATATAATTAAGATTATCTCAGAGATAGGAAGCTTTTCAGGTTGATGAGCACATTTGGGGTTTTGAAAGTACAGTATGTTGGGAGTGCTTTCACACAAGGCTGTCATGGGAGGAAGCTTGTATAATAATAAAAAAAAAATCATTGCCATGGTGGAAATGGCAAGTCGCAAAACCTCAGTATCAATTTGATTAATCATCAGACTTTACATAAAGATTTATTAAACAGAATGAGGTTATCGCCAATTATTAGAAATCAGATGAAAATATTATAGTAGTGGCAATGCTTACCCTGCAGAAGCTAATATTTATATTGCAGAATGACTTCACATTGATGAATTCAGGGAGTTACACTTCATGGAATATAAAAGTACAAAAGTGAGGAAAGTAGTGATATAAGCTGCAAACTTAGAAACATTTAAAAGTTATGCAGATTTTCCATACTCTAATTCAATTGCCACTCTTTTTGCTTATGCACTGCTTAAAATATGTTTAATGAAATAAAAGGTAGTATTTCTAATATTTTTTAAAAAAATATTCTAATTTGAAATAATAAAAGACAGGAGATTAGCCATTTGCGGTGGTAATTGCAGTAGTGATGAGGATGATATTTTATCCCAACTTTTATAAACTGTATATAACTGAAGGGGCAAATTTACCTAATACTCCTGCCTATTTTTCCCACAACAACAACCCTGTGATTTGGGTTGGGCTGAGAGAGCATAACTGGTCCAAGATCACCCAAATGGCCTTGTGCCTTGAATTCACAGTCTCCTGGTTTCTAGACCAGCACCTTAAACAAATACACCAAACTGGCTCTCTGATACTCGGTTGGGATACAAGAAAAAAAAATGTTTATACAAGGTTTGAGATTTTTTTCTGTATATAGAATATACTCAAAACAGCTTTTATAAATCTATACAAATAATAACAAAAATTGTTTTTCACATTTTAAATGTTTCTGTCTTCTTTAAGATGAAAAGTAGCACCTTTCAAGTTGTTGCGTCAACCAAAATTGTATATTTCAAAGAGAATGAAATAGTTCAGTTAGTGGCAAAATATGTATTTGGTGGATGATGGGAAAATAAAATGGGTACTTTATTGGTCACAGCTGAAAATCTCACTTCTAGCCAGTGAAACGGGTGGAACAAGCCAAATCTGCATAGTCCAATCTATTGATTATTTTATCTGTTACTGCTTCATAAAACCAAACCAATTCAGACCAAACCCACCCATAAACAGAGACCAGATTTCAAACTTTGATTTCAGGCTTAGCAGGTAGAGGCAGCAACAAGCATAGTGTGTGTGCAGTTGCAGGCACCCCTCAGCAAAATTCCAAATGCACATAAGCTTGCCTGCAAATAAATTCAAAATATGAGCTGAAGTGTGGTCAGATCCCAGAGTTTCAGGAGGCAAAAAGGACATGAAATCCAAATAAGAACAGTTGTTCCCAAATATTTATTGCCAGATAGCAGTGGCTTTTATGTAGAGTGGCTTCTGAGTGGAAGGATGGGAACCAGGTGAGACAGCAGGTAGAGCATCTTTGGTTTGCTTGATACATAGAGACTGGAGAGTTGCCCTGCATCAGGTTCTTCATCATCAGATTCTAAGAGCAATTACTCTGGATGATTGCAGAGTCAGTCTAGGGGGCTTCATTTCTCATTCCTGGAGACACTCACCTGGTAGCTCCAAAGCAGGCTGCTCAGTTTCAGAGTCTCTCAATGAAGCTGACTGTGATAATCCTGGCATAGAAAACTTCAATCTTTTCTAATTATGGAACATAAATATGTGCTTTATGAAGCCAAACCCTTTTTAATTAGTTGTCTTTTGGGAAATGAAAGTACCATTCTTTTTTCCATATTTAAAGTCAGCCCCAGTTGTATCTCAATGTGGCCTGATGTAGTAGAAAATGAAACTGTACAAATTATTTGCATACATATTTCTTTTCTTTTCTGAAATTGACATGCACTATATTTTTTCCCTATGTGGACACAGGTGGCACAGGGGTATTGTGGTGGCTGTATGTTAAAATGTGGAAGTCTCCCAATGACACTCTTACTGTTGAACAGCTTCAAATAGCCAAAGACAATCGTCAAGCCCTCCTGATTTATGCCATTGCAGCTACCATCTTCACAGTGAGTATTTGAGGGCTGTCAAATTAGGGCACCTGAAGAAGGCCTCTGTAAGGGAGGATGAAATTTATATTTGTGCCTTCAGTTCAGTCTTGGCTCCTGGTGACTGCCTGAACAAGTCCCTGCAATTTTCTTGGCAAGGCTTTTTGGAATTGGTTTGCCTTTGCCTGCTTCCTAGGACTGAGAGAAAGTGACTAGGCTTAATCACTAAAAAAAACTGGCTCTCTTATCAGGGAAAGTGGGTAATCAGATACGGTATACACTTTTGGGGTTGATTTTATTATTATAAATAAATACAAAATACAATAAATACAAAAAGTCACCAAAAAAAAGATAGATGGACATGCAGCACGCTGGTCATATATAACCAAGAAATAAGATTATTTCTTGGGAAATAAATATAAATATGGGGAAATGCCCTGAGACCAACTGTTATTAGTAGGTTGCTACTGGAGTTAAGATTACTTCATATGTTTTGTGTTGACATTTTTAATTATGTACTGTATTTTTCAGACTATAAGATGCGCCAGACTATGATGCACCTAGCTTTTGGGGAGGAAAACAAATCTGCCTCTACCTCCCAGCAATTTGCTTCCTTGCAGCAAACAGTAAGCAGCCTGGTCAGCTTCAGCACAGCCTGATTTAGCATAGGCAGCTGATTGGCGGTTGGATCTGCCTCCCGGAATACTGCCTATCAGCTGTTCCAGGCTGCGGGGATCGCTGTCACTGCTGTCACCCATTGCCCTGCCACCTATCATTGCCTCTGCGTGCCCCATTTTCAGCTTCCGCATGTCCCATTTTTGGCCTCCGCACCAGTGGTGAAATCTGAACCAGTTTGCTACCGGTTCACTGGCCGCGTATGCGCGCACCGTGCACCAAATGCACTGCTGTACACGCATGCGCAGTACGCGCCAATAGGAGGCTTGGGAAGGTAAGTAGAAGCAAGGGGGGATCAGATGTGTTGCGCAATTTAGCTTTTCCTGGATTTCCTGCTTTCTAGCAAAGCTAAACCCCGCTGCACAGCTGATCCCCCCCCCCCCGCTGTTCTACTTACCTTCCCAAGCCTCCTTTTGGCACGTGCTGTACACGCATGCACAGTAAATGCCAAAAGGAGGCTTGGGAAGGTAAGTAGAACAGTGAGGGGGGGGAATCAGCTGTGAAACGCGATTTAGCTTTGCTAGAAAGCAGGATTTCCTGCTTTCTAGCAAAGCTAAACCCGGCGCCACAGCTGATCATCGGAAATACTGGTTCAGAGGAACCGGTAGTTTTTTTTATCACTACCGGTTTTCCTGAACCGGAGTGAACCGGTAGCATTTCAGCCCTGCTCCGCACGTCCCATTTCTGGCCCGTTCCAAGCGGTGGGAATAGGCAGCCGCCTGGAACGGGTCAAAAATGCGATGCACAGAGGCTGAAAATGGAGCACGTGGAGGCGGCGATAGGCAGTGGCAGCAATGGGTGGCAGCGATCCCCGCAGCCTGGAACAGCTGATAGGCAGTATTCCAGGAGGCAGATTCAACCGCCAATCACCTGCTCGTGCTAAATCAGGCTGTTCTGAAGCTGACCAGATTGTTTGCCATTTGCTGCAAGGAGGCAAATTACTGGGAGGCAGAGGCCAAAAGGTGGAGGCCGAAGGGTGGGTGGGGCTTCAGCAACATATGCTCTATAAGAGACACAGACATTTCCACTCACTTTTTTTATGGGGGGGAGTGCATCTTATACACAGAAAAATACAGTAATTAAGTATTTAAAAATTGGTGCTTTAAATAGGTGACATATTTTACCTTATTTTAATAAATACATTTGCCTAAAGTTTATTGTGGAATTTCTTTTCTTTTTCAGGTTATCTTACTATTAATAATGCTAGTTCTGCGCAAACGAGTAGCTCTCACCATTGCCTTGTTCCATGTGGCTGGCAAGGTTTTCATTCACCTGCCACTGCTTGTCTTCCAGCCATTTTGGACTTTTTTTGCCCTCGTCCTCTTCTGGATATATTGGATTATGGTCTTGCTGTTCCTAGGTATTACTGGTATGTGTTGTGTAGTTTTGGATTCCCCCCCCCCCCCCGTTTCTTCACTTGCAATTCCAGAAAAATATTGTGCTCTTATCTTTATATTGGGTCAAATTAAATCTAAGAAACCTAAGGATCTTTTTTGAAATAAATGACATGTTTTGTTCCTATTAGCTCACCACTGACTGAGCAGTGATTCCACAGTATATGTACAGATGCAGTCAAAAGTATTAGCACCTTTCCATTTTTTCCCCCAAAGAATCCTAATTTGCCATGAAATGAGTTGAACTTGATACCAAAAGGCTCAAAACATATTTCATCACTCAGTCTTGCTAAAGTTGAGTTTGAGATTTTCCTCTCCATCCAAACCATTACAGATAGCCCTGACTTATGACCATAATTGAGCCTGGAATTGTAGTTATAAATCGTTGATATCATAAGTCAAGGCATCACATGACTGGACCCTAGTTTTGCCATTTTTTGCACCAGTCATTAAGCAAATACTTTGGTCATTAAGCAAATCCATTTTCCCCACTGGGCGTTTTTTGTCAGAAACCAGAAGTAAACACTGGAAACCCACAAAAAAGGTCACAAATCACCATAGGATGCTGCAAACGGCCATGATGGTGAGCCAGTTGCCAAGCGCTCAAATAAGAACACATGAACCAGGGGTGGGGGTAGAGATGTAGCTGTTATGATGTTGAAAGTGCATTGTAAATAGCTCTAGGGAGATCCATAGCAACATTGAATGGCTGTTAAGCGTCAGATTGTATATCAAGGACTACCTATGTAGAGCCTGTAGACATTGGGACTTGAGTGCAACAGCATTGCTTAGCCAAACCTGGAACCAAACAGTAAATGGGTTCTCCTCTCCTAAAGTCATGGGTGTCCTATCAGTGGTAATTTTCAAGAAAATATTGGACCGTCATTGTCTAGGGTGGTATGAGGATTTCTGCACTAGGCAATAGGTTGGATTAGAAGATTTCCCAGATTCCTTCCAACTAACCAGTTAGCCTTTTTAAAATTTTATTTGTAGTATTTTTATAAAAATATTTTTGTCATACTGGTGTTCTGAAAGGCAGCTTATATATTATTATTTTATTAATTACCAAAAACAAGCATAATTGTAACTCTTGTATGCAAATATTAAAAGGACAGCTTTCTCATAGAATTAATATTTTAAAGTCTTCCTGCCTTCCTTTCCTTCCAGGTAGCCCGGTTCCAAATGAAGAGGGCTTAGTAGAGTTCCGAATTATAGGGCCACTGAAGTACATGTGGTGGTACCATGTCGTGGGGTTAGTTTGGATCAGTGAATTTATTCTTGCCTGTCAACAGATGACTGTAGCAGGAGCTGTTGTGACATATTATTTTACAAGGTAAGTGAGTCTGGGCAGTCGAATCATGAGTGATCCAACTTCTGAAATTTCAAAAGTAACTGGATTAAGTGAAATGATAGAATGGAAGAAAAGCAAATTCTCACTTCAGCTAGTTTAGAACCCGGGTGGGGGGGGGGAGAGGAGTTCTGGAGTGATGCTTTGTTCCTTATAGTCTTTATAGCAAATAAAGAGTGAATGTAACACAGTCTGCTCATAAATATATTATATGGAATTCTGAAAAACTAATTATTATGGAAGTATCTATAAGATTGCAGCTATATATTGGTGCATAGATGAGTAACATCTATTCCCAGTTTTTTTTTTTATCATAGTGTTCCTATGTAGAGGATCGTATGAGAATCATTAGCAGGAACTATTGTCATCCAATTGGGTTCCACTCCAAGTCCAGGCTTCTATTCTAATTAGTACCAGTCAAAGGTTTTTGTATCTTGACAATTGGCACCAGTTGCTATTCAGTAGCTTTCTTGCTTAAGCTAATGGAAGTTATCTTTGGCTTGACCTTAATGTCTGTGGTTTCATGATTCCCATGATATTGAAAAATGTAATTGATCCAAATGCAATTGCTCTGATGCATGTCATTGGAGGAATCTCTAAGACATAATTGGCTCAGCAAATTTATCAGAAGGATATAAGATTTAATTTTCCCACTATGCAGGAAGATATCTTTGAAGATAGATCTGACTTTTATTCCCCACTTTCTAATCAGTAGCTGAATCTTCTCAGTGATTCAGAAGCCCCATTCCTTGTGAGGTTTAGATTATGTGTAGTTCATTCCTGCCTGGATAAGAAAACAATTGAAATAGTCCCTACTGTGCAGAATAATGGATTTCTGCACTTGAAGTACTGGCTCGCAATCTTGACAACTGTCAAATGTCTGTTTACTCTCTGCAATGGAGAGAAGAGTGGAGCCCTTGATATGAATACTCTTTTGATCTTCACCTAAACTGAGAGCAATTAAGTAAACAGAAAAGTGGCTCGATCTCAAAGATGCAAGCTTACTGTGAACTTTCATCCAGTCACGTATGGTGGAAGCTCAGCCCCAAAAATTCTTTATTTCTCTGTGGAGCTTTTTTAAAAAAAAAATCTGGCCCAGGAGAAGACATATAAAATTCTTGCTGTAAGTCGGTTCAAATATAAAATCATATACGTATATTTTTCATAAATTGATGTATTTATTTTTAATCAGTGTGCTTTTCTATCTTCTTTGCTGAAGTGATCTATCATTTCATTGCTTTTTGCTTCTCAGATAAAATTCCTTTTAGTAATTTGTTGCCAAATATTTGCAATCATTTTGCTGGCCCAAGCCACTGCCTATTTTTAAGCAAAGGTCAGGACTACTCAGTTTCACCACCACTTTGTTTGTAAGAAAAGAATTAGTTCAATATAACTCCACCCTTGATAAAAAGCAACATTTACAGATTTGGGGCCCTACAAAATTTAGACTTGGAGCTCTTCACATTGCCATCTATGTTTGCCTATAAATGCAGTGCACTCTAATACTTCATAATTTTTACATTTTTCTCCACAGAGAAAAACGGAATCTGCCATTCACACCAATTCTGGCATCTATCAATCGCTTGATCTGTTACCACCTTGGAACTGTGGCTAAAGGTTCTTTCATTATTACCTTAGTGAAGATTCCAAGAATGATTCTCATGTATATTCATAGCCAAGTCAAAGGAAAAGTAAGGGGAAACTAAGTTTGATATATAATAAACAATATTAATACAACAGGAAAAATATGAAAAATGCTCTGGCAAATCAGAACAGAGACCCATGCAATCAGTTCATGGGCTATGAAATGGGAATGGGATGTGAACCAGCTATACCTCCCATATGTGTGAAATAAGCCTCCTCAAAAAAGGCACAGTTTTTTGGGGACAGTGCATTTGCAGATGACACCAAACTGGCAGGAACAGCCAAGACTCCAGAAGATAAGCTTAAGATACAGAAGGATCTGAACAGGCTTGTACATTGGGCCCTATCTGGCAAAATGAAATTCAATGGTGAAAAAATGAGGTTCTACATTTAGACAAGAAAAACCAAATGCACAGGTATAGTATAGGTGGTACCTGGCTCAACAGTAGTAACTGTGAGAGGGATCTTGGAGTCCTTGTAGACAATCACTTAAATATGAGCCAGCAGTGTGCTGCAGCTGCCAGAAAAGGAAACACAGTCCTAGGCTGCATTAACAGAGGGATAAAATTAAGATCACATGAAGTGTTAATATTACTTTTTAATGCCATGGTAAGACCACATTTGGAATACTGCATCCAGTTTTGATCACCACGACATAAAAAATATGTTGAGACTCCAGAAAGAGTACAGAGAAGAGCAACAAAGATGATTAGGGGACTGGAGGTTAAAACATATACAGAATGGTTGCAGGAATTGAATATGTCTAGTTTAATTAAAAGAAGTACTAGGGATGACATAGTGTTCCAATTTCTAAGAGCTGCCATAAGGAACAGAGTGTCAATCTATTCTCCAAAGCACCTAAAGGCAGGACAAGAAGCAATGGAAGGAAACTAATCAAGGAGAGAAGCAATCTAGAACTAAGGAGAAATTTCCTGACAGAACAATTAATCAGTGGAACAACTTGCCTCCAGAAGTTGTGGATGCTCCAACACTGGATGTTTTTAAGAAGAGATTGGACAACCATATATCTAAACCATCTATACCATATCTAAAATGGTATAGAGTTTCCTGCCTGAGCAAAGGGTTGGACTAGAAAATCACCAAGGTCCCTTCCAACTCTTATTCTGTGATTTCTATTGGCCACCCTGTGCTACCTTATGCCCCTGCCACCCCTCACTGACCTTTGTTTCTTCATTTCATTGTTGACTAAACCTTCTCCATCTTCTTCCTTCCCCTTCACAAGGCCTTCCCGAAGCCTTGCAGAGCTTCGGAATGAAGACCTTGTGCAGCCAGAAACTGTTATGCGAAGGGCCAGGTCAGACATATCTTAATAGTAGCAGGAGAAAGAACATGGAAACAGTGGGCAGCTGGGATGGCAGAGGGTAGGGTGGTCAAAAGGGCAGAAATGACAGATGGATGAGGGAAGCTGAAGCAAAGGTGAGCCCCAGTAGGGCAGAAGATACTAGATCCTGGCTTAAGAGCAGTGACAAGGGCTATTGAAACTGCCATTATAAGTGATAGAGTCATGTGATGTTTCTATTAACAATTGTATTAGCAATGGAAATTCCAGTCCTAATTAGGGTCACTAAGTGAAGACTATCTGTTCAGCAATTCTGTTTATAAATTGTGAAAGACATTTGGATATTATCAAATTCTGAACAGTATACAAGGTAGATTCTTTTGAGCTAAGAATCTGGTATTAAGCTATAACCATTTCTTGGTTAGCAGCCATGACTTTTATCATCATTGCAATAATCGAAATGGTAGTGTTCCAGCAATCCCCACTTGTAGCCAAGTTTACCCAGAGATTTCTCCCTATAAGTATGTAAATAGATTACGTTGCATGGAAAGAAAAAGCAGGTGTCTTGCATATTTGATTTGGCTTTATATAACATAGTATAATAATGATTAAAATTAGATCTTATCTTCAAGAAAGTATTATGTAAACTGAATCCTATATTTGAAACTTCATCTAAAAAAGCATTCTGTGCTCTATTACAATGCAATTTCTTTTGTTTTCCTGATCATTGATATTAATATTATTACCTTAGGAAAACGTCTGTGCTCGATGTATTCTAAAAGCCTGCATTTGCTGCCTTTGGTGTTTAGAAAAGTGCCTGACTTACTTAAATCAGGTAAGATCATACTTAAAGCAGAGGATGAAATAATTATTCCTGTACCTGTGCACTAAAGACATAAATGCCTTTGTTGAAATTAAAATGCAAGAGGTTCCTTGGCAGAAAATAAGAACAAATATATTTTAGATAGGATGGCACTTGTAATAAAATAGCAAAATCACTTAGACTTATATACCGCTTCACAGTGCTTTACAGCCCTCTCTAAGCAGTTTACAGGGTCAGCAGATTGCTCCCAATAATCTGGATCCTTATTTTACCTGCCTTGGAAAGATGGATGGTTGAGTCAACCTTGAGCCCATCAGTAAGTGAGTTAGCCTGCAATACTGCATTCTAATAGCTGCACCACCATGGCTCAGATTTTAGTGCTGAAAGAAATTTGTGTAGAGATTGAATGGATTTCAGAATGAACTTGTAATAGAAAGAGAAAAAAGCTCTCTTTTTTTGTATTTAGGTATCATTTTAGAGTGGAAAGGATTATAATTAGAATCTCATGTTGTTGAACCTTCACAGACCTTCACTGAATTAAATCAAATATCCTTTGACTGCCATATTATAATTTTACATTTTTGCTCTAACTTTATGGTATTTGCCAGTTTTATGCAAATACTTGTATAATGAGTTAGTTATATAATTTATTACTTAGATCTATTCAACCTAGTTGTCCTCAATTTTTTTTTCAAAAACTAAATTCTTAAATAGAAAAATAAAGTTCAAATCAATATGAAAATATTTGACTACATTCTCCTGTGCTTCAGTTCTTTAAATTATTAATATCCTTCCCTTCCTTCCTAAGGTACTTCTTTTTTTAAAAAATCAGCTTTCAGAGACTAACCATTCTTATGCAAGAATTATTAACTGAAAACAAAAGTCTCTTTTTATTGGTCCCCAAAAAAATTAGTATAGGCGTTACACTAATTTATGGTTTATCCAGACATTAAAAAGTTTAACCATATCCCAGATTTATATCCATGCTATTTGCTTTTATCTCTTGCTGCCACAAAATACTGTTTCTGAAGCAAACGTGTTTATGCTGACATAGTTAACGCTAAGTACATTGGCAACCTTGCTGGAAAAATAGAGGGGATATTGGAAGTGCATCAGTTTGGCTGTTCATATCTTGCTAAAAACTAATTTGGTCTATTGAACAGATTCATATAGAATAGATCTTCATTCTGATAATGACTGAGGGGTGAGAGATATTTGTCAATGTAATGTTATAAAGATTTTAAACAGGAAGAGCTTAAAATTTGAGTAGAAGATCTGACCAATACTACGGTGTCTTTCTTGTCCAGAATGCATATACAGCCACAGCTATCAACAGTACCAATTTCTGCACTTCAGCAAAGGATGCCTTTGTGATACTAGTGGAGAATGCTTTGCGAGTGGCTGCTATAAACACAGTGGGAGACTTCATGCTCTTTCTTGGAAAGGTAGGATTGAGTGGGAAAAAAATGTCAAGAACCCTCTCCAAATAGCCTTCTTTATTTGAACCCAACGCAATACGAATGCTGTGATTTTAAAAACTAAATCATTAAAATTGCCTAGATGCCAAATTTTAAATGTGTACCAAGAATGGTTGGATGATATGTGAGGATTCTGGTTCTGATATCTGTTGGTACTCAGTGTGCTCTGCACAGTGACACTCTTTTTCGAGCTGTCTTCGCATGGAAAAGCAGGGTGCTCTGCCTTGATGCCTTCAGCCAAAAATGTTAAGGTGGTTGCTTTGTGGAAACAGTTTCAGCACATGCATTCAGAGACAACAAAGGCCAGTGAGGTGTCCAGGTTGACCCTAGTCAGTGGCTCCAAAGCAGAGAGTATGAAATCTGGATTGGAATGAAGCACCTCTTATATCTTTATAATGGCCTGGTAATAAGTATACATATAATGTTTACTTACCTGTGTGGCATAAAGTGCTACTGTACCTGCTTCCTCAGTTTGGAGGAGTTAAAACCATCTCTCATAGTGCATTTCAGCAGGTTATTCAATCAGTGTTCTACAGAACCTGGTGAGGTTCCATAACAATATAGTGGGGTTCTGATTCGAGAATAACCACCGGAAAATTCACTGGAAGAGAGACAATTTTTTATACAGAACTATTTCATTTTTTAAAAAAGTAACAGATTCTGTGCTTTGAAAAACCTCTGCACTAACTATCCCGTTACTGATATAGTTACACCCAAAGTATATCTTCTGTTTAAATGAAGCAATGTGAACAAATGTCTACAGCTGTTAAAAAGTATATCCACAGCAAGACTAACATTGTGAGAAACACTTTGTGGGCAAGATTCAGTTACCTGATTCACGTCAAATGAATTCAGCACTTGACAACACAGATGCCTGTGCTGCTCATTGTTGTATTATATTTTGAGTTCCTTTTTAATCAAGGACCCGAGGATTAGTGAGTAATCTCATTTCAAATAGGAAGAAGCTGACCAAGGTGTGTGGTGTAATGCTGATGTTACCGTAAGATGTGAAGAGTAGCTGAAATTTGCATGAACTTGAATGCTAATGATTTGGGCCCTTTCCTACCATATTTTTCTAAAATTCCAGTTGGATTGGTAATGGATTAAGATATGATAGTTACATAAGTTGAGATAATAAATACAATAAATAAAATATGCTTACCATAATGTGCATTGGAGTATTAATTGGATTTGACATGTGCTAGAAAGGCAAAGAAAGGACAGGGAAGTTACATATTTCAGATGGCTGAAACCAATGCTTAAAAAAAGAATAGACTCAAGATCATTTGAAGTGTTAGTACCACTTTATAAGTAAGACAATACTTGGAATACTGCATCCAATTTTGGTCATCACGACATAAAAAAAAGTTGAGATTCTAGAAAGAGTGCAGAGAAGAGCAACAAAGATAATTAGGGTTCTGGAGGCTAAAACATGAAGAATGGTTGCAGGAATTGGGTATGTCTAGTTTAATGAAAAGAAAGACTAGGGGTGACATGATAGCAGTGTTCCAATATCTAAGGAGTTGCCATAAAGAGGGGGTCAACCTATTCTCCAAAACACATGAAGTCAGGACAAGAAGTGATGGATGAAAACCAATCAAGGAGAGAAGCAACCTAGAACTAAGAAGAAATTTCCTGACAGCATAGATAATCAGACTTGCCTCCCATTTGTGGGTGCTCCAACACAGGAGCACCTACACAATGGAGAAGAGATTGGACAACCATTTGTCTGAAATGTTATACGGTTTTCTGCTTGAGCAGAGGGTTTATTTATTTTATTTATTTATTTATTAAACTTTTATACCGCTCTTCTCCCGAAGGACTCAGGGCGGTGTACAGCCATATTAAAACAAACATATACCCAAAAATTTAAAAAATTTAAGAGCCTTGGTGGCGCAGCTGACTAAGTGCTGTTAAAGTAGCACCAGCTGCCTGCAATTACTGCAAGTTCAAATCTCACCAGGCTCAAGGTTGACTCAGCCTTCCATCCTTTCGAGGTAGATAAAATGAGGACCCGGATTGTGGGGGCAATAAGCTGACTTTGTATAAAAAAGAACATCGCTTAGGAGGGGCTGAAAGCCCTACTAAGCAGGTATATACAAAAGAATGAAGGCTATTGCTTAAAAGCATTGTAAGCCACCCTGAGTCTCCGGAGAAGGGCGGCATATAAATCGAACCAATAAATAAATAAATAAAAACAATTTAAAATATATACAAATTTGGCCCTTATATTAAAAATTACAGACACCCAATTAAAATTCATTTTCTAAGGCAGCCCGGCCTGTTGGAACAAAAGAGTCTTAAACGCACGGCGAAAAGTACGTAAGTCGGGGATCATGCGGATCTCCGGGGGCAGTTCATTCCAGAGGGCAGGTGCCCCCACAGAGAAGGCTCTCCCCCTGGGTGTTGCCAGATGACATTGTTTGGCCGACGGCACCCTGAGGAGTCCCTCTCTGTGGGAGCGTATTGGCCGGTGGGAGGCTATCGGTGGCAGAAGGCGATCTCGTACATATCCAGGTCCTAAGCCATGGAGCGCTTTAAAGGTGGTGACCAACACCTTGAATCGCACCCGGAAGACCACCGGGAGCCAGTGCAGCTCGCGCAGGAGAGGTGTTACATGGGTGCGCCGTGTCGCCCCCATAATCACCCGCGCGGCCGCATTCTGGACCAGTTGGAGTCTCCAAGTGCTCTTCAAGGGGAGCCCCATGTAGAGAGCATTACAGTAGTCCAGACGGGACGAGGGCGTGAGTGATTGTGCGCAAGTCGTCCCGGTCCAGAAAGGGATGCAACTAGTGAATCAGGCGAACCTGATAAAAAGCTCCCCTGGCCACAGCTGTCACATGGTCTTCTAAAGACAGCCGTGCATCCAGGAGAACACCCAAGTTGCGAACCCTCTCTGAGGGGGCCAAAAACTCGCCCCCAATAGTCAGCAATGGAGCTAGCTGGCTATATCGGGACGCCGGAAACCACAGCCATTCGGTCTTGGAAGGGTTGAGTCTGAGCTTGTTTCTCCCCATCCAGATCCACACAGTCTCCAGGCACCGGGACATCACGTCAAGGGCATCATTGGGGTGGTCTGGGATGGAGATGTACAGCTGAGTATCATCAGCGTACTGATGGAGCTTCACCCCAAAACCACAGATGATCTCACCCAGCGGCTTCACATAAATGTTGAACAGAAGGGGCGAGAGGACCGACCCTTGCGGCACCCCACAAACAAGGCACCTCGAGGTTGACCTCTGTCACCCTGCCAACACAAACTGCGTACGATCAGAGAGGAAGGAGGAGAACCACCGCAACACGGTGCCCCCCACTCCCAACCTCTCCAATCGCCGCAGCACGATACCATGGTCGATGGTATCAAAAGCCACTGAGAGGTCTAATAGGACCAGGACAGAGGAACAACCCCTGTCCCGAGCCCTCCAGAGATCATCAACCAATGGTTGGACTAGAAGGTCTCCAAGGTCCCTTCCAACTCTGTTATTCTGTTATTCTGCCTACCGGAACTAGCAATACTGATTAGAAATGCTGAAACTCGTCTTTAATTCCCGTTAACCACTGTAGCAGTATCAAATCAGCACATTTCTATGTTTCTTTTGCTTAAGCCAACATTCACATTGTTGTAGGATGCAAAGATCTATTTTTATAAGTATCTTTCATAAACAGCATGAGTCACACTTTGAAAATGCATTTGAAAATCCTCTTTTCAAGGCTTGCATTTCTTAGATAAGTGAAAAAAAATATTGAAACTGATCATACAAATATAGAATTAAATTAACTTTCCATTTTCAAACAGTTGGAGAGATTTGGGAATTGATCTGACTCTAGTATCTCCAGAGAATATTTCGGAAAATAGTGCTGTAGTTAACTAAACTCTCTGTCACACAAATTTTAAATTGTCACAGTGTGTTCTCTTGCTGTTATAGCGTTCAAGACTTCAGGTCAACTTTAGTTGGCCTTTAGTGCTCCTCAATTTCAATTGAGAGTATTTTATTTTTTTAAAAAAATTGTTTGGAAAAAATATAATGAATCTCTACACTGCAAATTTTAAGAAAAATAATTGCCTCCCAGGAAAATTGCCATCTGGGTGTATGTGTGATATATAGTTAGCACTAATTACTAGGAAAGAGCCATTATATTATTAGAATTAGAGCTTGGATTAAATAATTAATACATATATGAGAACTGAGCCTTTGCAAATAATTTTAGTTTTAGGCCCAGTCCTTACCAAGTCTGATACCTTGCTTTATTGGCTAGAAATGATATGAATAGAAGACAAACTGTCCATTAACGAAGAATTAAGACATTTAGTTTGGTACAACTAAACAGTTTATTTTTTATTATTATTGTACAAAAAAGGTAACACTTGTTCTGCTGTACAGTTCCTGATCGAAAAAGTTCCTGATTGAAATAGTAATTAAAAAGCTAGCATAATATATGCAAAAGAGAGGGAGAAGGAACAAATACTTCATTATTAAAGTCCATTGCCATTAAAAAAAACAATTTAGGCAGAGATTTGACAGACTTTAGTAGTTCAGTTGGTCACCTAAGACCTGAAGGCGAGGTGTCCTTGGGCAATCAGCAATGTCTTTGCTCTGTGCTTTCTCAACTCTTTGCTTTCTTGTCTCCCTAGGTCTTAATAGTGTGCAGCACAGGCTTGGCAGGGATCATGCTGCTGAATTACCAGCGGGACTACACAGTATGGGTGCTGCCCCTTATCATTGTCTGCCTATTTGCATTCCTGGTTGCCCACTGTTTTCTGTCTATTTATGAAATGGTAGTGGATGTCCTTTTCTTGTGCTTTGCCATTGACACCAAGTATAATGATGGCAGTCCTGGAAAGGAGTTCTACATGGATAAAGTCCTTATGGTGAGGCCCTTCTTCTATATTCCTCCACTCTCCTAAGTAGGAAGAATCATTAACTGCAAAAATACTAGCACAGTGGTTGTTGAATGTTGTTTCTCTTAGGAATTCAATTTTGAAATGTTGGCTAGTTTATTTGATGTTAATGGCTATTTATTTTCATCCCACGCATGTTGGAAGTTATCTGACAAGCTTCCAAATACTTTTGTTTTGTTTTCTGTGGTTTAATGAAAATAGCTTACATTCACCCAGATATGTCTTTTCCATGCTGCAGCTATCTGCACTGCTGAATAAGGAAACCAATCTTCCAACTCATTTTTAAAATGTAAACTAAGAAGTGCTGTAGGCTCTTCAGCATCAGCTAGAATTTTGGAGAAACCTATGGCTTTTCAGTGATTCTCTTTTGTGACATATATTCCAAGCTACTTGAGTTTTCAGGCCATATAGAATTGCTCAATGAAGGATATGTAGCAATAGCAATAGCACTTAGACTTATATATATATACCGCTTTACAGTGTTTTACAGCCCTCTCTAAGCAGTTTACGGAGTCAGCATATTGCCCCCAACAATTTAGGTCCTCTTTTTACCCACCTGAGAAGGATGAAAGGCTGAGTCAACCTTGAGCCTAGTGAGATTTGAACTGCCAAATTGCAGTCAGATGGCAGTCAGCAAAAGTAGCCAGCAGTACTGCACTCTAACCACTGCACCACCGTGGCTTAATGTGCACCTCTTCCTGTTTTCTTCTATAAACAATGTTATGAAGTAGGTTGGGCTGGGAAGAGAGTGAAAAGTAGGACCTGATGCAACTTAACCACTACAGCACACACTTCTCTCATTAAATATGTAATAAATAAAATTAATAAATGCTAAAAAGCGGAAAGCATTAGTGAAAGTGCATCAGTTATAGAATTTGTTACAAGAACATAAAGCTATAATTTGGCATTTCAAATGGCTTAACCTTTAACATGTGATCATCAGAAGGGTTCTTTTGGATAAATGTCAAGGATCCACTGACATTACTACTTCCTAGCACCCAAAGGGAAGAGAGTGTCCAATAAGTGCATTAGCAGCAGGCCATTTGCCCAGACAACAAAGCTAACTCTGGGAAGAAATTGAAGAGTGGAAAGTCTTTAGAGAGCAACAGCACAATTGCCCAAGCAGCAGAGAATTTTTCTTGTCCTATCTGGGAGTTGGTGACTTACAGGTTTGGGGTAGATATAATGCAATTATCATCAGTGCCAGCTCTTCTTTAAAACCATGGTAGAAAAGGATTTAGCATTTAGGTTCCAGAAAATAATGCAGTGAATTTTCTCCAACTATTTTCCAGGAATTTGTGGAGAACAGCAGAAAAGCATTGAAAGAAGCTGGCCGGGGGAGTGGAGGTGAAGGCAAGGAGCTCAAACCAATGGTAGGTCCAAGAGAAGAGATAGTTGCTCTTTTCCAAGAATTTCATTTGTACTTCTTATCCCTTTCTATTTTCACTGATTGTGCTTCTTCAGAAGAAGTGTTTGTCATTTGTGTCACTCAGGATGTTCTGCTTTTTCTGTTTGTGAGCTTGCCTATTACCTGGATGGCAGAGTTTTTGTCACAGCTGAGAGCGCCTCCCATAAAAGTAAGCTGAAAGGAACAGTATCTTCATTCTTCTCCTGTGTTTATGTCACCAAGGCTACTAGTAGCATTCACAATATTCTAAGGGCTAAAAACAGAGGGAAAGTGCTTATTTTAACAGTGGCAACAGCACTTTGACTTATATATTGCTTCACAATGCTTTACAACCCTCTCTAAGAAGTTTACAGAGTCAGCATATTGCCCCCAAAAATCTGAGTCCTCATTTTACAGACCTAGGAAGGCTGAGTCTTGAGCCTGGTGAGGTTTGACCTGCCAAATTACAGGCAGTCAGCAGAAGTAGCCTGCAGTACTGCATTCTAACCACTGTACCATACCACTTCATAGTGCATTACAGCTCTCTCTAAATAGTTTACAGTGTCAGCCTGTTGCCCCAACAATCTGTGTCATTTTACTGACCTCAGAAGGATGGAGGTCCTCCTGAGTTAACTTTGAGCCAGTCAGAATCGAACTCCTGGCTTTAGGCAGAGTTAGCCTGCAATATTGCATTCTAATCACTGCGCTACCAAGTGCTCTTGAAATATTAGACCTACAAGTAAAGTGCCTAGATATTCTACCTCTGATACCTCTTCCACTGCTCTGTCCTGGGTTGCTAATGGAATTCTGCAAGAACCTGCAGCCACATCCAGCTCACATGACCCCTCAAAGCAAAGATGGCAAACATTCACCACCAGATCAGTGATTTCCGTTTGGTTGCAACTGATCTTCTGATATATTTGGTTGGAAATCTCAGGGGTGAATGGAAGTGGTCCTATCTAATTCACTGTCATATTTTATTTCTGTTAATATCAACAGTCAGGTTATAGGTGTCTTTGAGGGGATGTTCTGCTTTGATGAAGGCTTGAACAAACCATCTTAGTAAAGTAAATTGTATCACAGCTTTGCCTCATTGAGGCAGTGTAGAGCACCTCTTTGAAACAAATAAAAGCAGTCTTGTGTAGTCTAATACTATAAGCAATTCACTTAGGCTTCATTTTTAAGTTGCTATTCTCCCCTACCAGTAAGGAAATAGATACAGCAACTCCTTTCAACCTGCTAAAATATTATTTTTCCTAGTTTTGCTTCTTACCCCCTCCCCATCTCCTTTCTTACCATTGTTCTTCTATGTTTTATGACTAATGAATAAATATATAATGTAGGCTTCCTTGGTTTGGAAAAACTTCCTTGCTTATAACTGAGTATCAATAACTCAGAGACAAGAGCAAGTTCATTAACATAGCATTATTACTGTAGTTTGTAGTTGGGTTGAAATTAAAACATATGGGTACTTGCTTTTTTTCTCCCTGAATCAAGCACCTGCTTTGGAGATATTGCACTGAGTCAGAAAGTTTCCCTCCCTGCTCTTTTCCCCTAACTGACTCACATGCAAATTTACAATTAAAATGCACAACCCAAAACAGCAGGACCAGTTCTCTGCATCCAAGCAAGAGCCTCAGAGGCTAAACAGTCATTTGTTGGGGATATTTTAATCCTGTACAGTTGGCATTAATTTTGGTGGCCCTGTTCTGTCCCCGTCCCACACGCACACACACCAACAGATGTCCAAGAGTTAAAAACCAAACCAGACGACAAAATCCTTTTCCTTATGATAATGGAACTTGGCAGCAACCTAGTGGCTGCCTGCCAAGAGTTTATTACTTAACGAAGGGAAGAGATAACTTCTCTCCGCTTCTGGTACATCAAAGTAAAATGCTCAATAATTACAGAGTAAATCAAGTCCAAATATAATCCAGCAAAGTCTATAGCAAAAGTCCGGCAATGCAGAATGGCGTGGAAGCTTTCAGCTTTGTTCGTCACAAGGCTTGACTGGCCACCACGCTCCCTTTTATACTCTGTGGGGTGTGGTCCAGTGACTCAGCCTAATCTCGTGCATGCCTTTTCTTCTGTTGCGCGCGCTTATCTCTGCGACGCTGGCGTGGATCCAGCCAAGACTCATTACTCTCATCACTGTCCACCTGTGGCTGTGTGGACGTGCTTGGCCCCGGCCCTATCTCTTGCCCTTCGGCGGACACCGAAGGCATTGCCAAAGAGGAGGGTCCTGGAGAGGGAGGCCTTGCCAACTCCTCTCCTTCACTTTCGGAGTCCTCTCCTGCCGATGATACAGGCTCAGGTAACGGAGCCACAACAGGCCCAAATGGCCCCTCCTGGGAAGAGAACCATAGAAGCTATCCTAAGCTCCTTGAAAGCAATGCAATGAAATAAATTATAGTGAGCAGCTACAGTCCATAAATATATATGTATAAATACTGTCTAAAGCTTTCAAGTTGAACTTCAAACATTTGTGCCAACGAAACAGATTCTTCTTTTTCTCTGTGTTTCTCTGCTATGATGCATGTGTGTTTGTTTTAAAAACCTCCAATTTCCCACATTTTTTTCACCAAAGAAATGCAGTACTGTGTCTGTTCAAAATTTAAATGCAGTTATAATTTAAAATTAGTATAGTTTCTTAATTATGCTCTTGATCTAGAAACGTAATGTTTAATTTTTAACATTTCCCCCTCAATTTATAACTTCTTTTCCAGGTCTCTGGAGCAAGTTCATCTTGAAGCTGGTCAGCCAATATGGAAACCATTGACATTCCAAAACAATATCTATTTCTCTCTTTCTCTAGCTATCTCTCTTCTATATATATCTATATCTATATTATTTAAAAAGCAGCCAAAATCAGAGAAAAGGAACAGGGATTTAATACTTTTTTAATGATTATTTTTGTGAAACATGTACTCTTTTCATACGGGTGGCTTTTACAAGCAACTTTTATCATTGTTCCATTTTTAAAAAAATCATTGTGATTCATGGTGATGTTATGATTGTAATCCGATAGAGATTTCAAAATTTGGAGGAGAATTCCACAGTATTTAAAAATAATAATGCAAGATTTTCAGATTTGAAATAACATAAGTAGGTCAAATAAGTTCCCCACATTTTTATTTTTAATTAACGTAACAGTTTAGAATTCAGTGAGTAATGACGGTTCTGAGAGGGAAAAAAGTCCTTTGTTAGAATTTTTTTATTAATTAGAATCAGAATGGATAATACATTAATCATGTTGGATTTTGTTGCTTCTTTGTAATGGGATACAAATAGGATCAAGTAAGTTTAGCATATTCAGATTTTTTGTATTATATAATTTAAGACATTTTTTAAAAAAACACACAACCCAACTCCTCAGGTATTAAGATATTGAGACAGCCCCTGAATCTGTGAAGGACAAACTAAAGATGTATGAGGAAGAATGAGTTTAATATGCAACTTCCGTCCTGTGTTATCTTATTTTCCCTGTTAGGTTTAATCTTGTCCTTTGCACATTGTTTTTTCTTTGAACTAAGCAGATTCTTCACTTAAACAATTTAATAACAATATTCTGATGCTCAGCCTTAGATATACTCCATTGTTGTTCATTCATAACAATATGGAAAGATTTTAAGAGTAGAGACAAACTGTACTACTATACAAAAAATAAGTACTGTAAATTGCTTGTGGTTTTTTTTTGTTTGTTTGTTTGTTTGTTTTGTTTTGTTACTGTTGACCCCATGTCTGGGACATATTTCATTATACATTTGGTAATTTAGTGGAGTATAGTAGGAAAGAGCACATAAACATCTTTTTGAAATGTCACTGTCTTAGTATATAATGTAGGTCTTAAAGTAGTCTCTGTATATTCATGATCATGGGACCTGAGAGCCACATGAATACTTCAGAAGCTTCCAGAAAGCAATACTTCTCTCCCATTCCATCTTCATTTTTAGAATAATTTTTTGTAATTGTTTTAGTAGCATTCTAAATACTGAGATTATTGCGCTCCTAAAAGTGTATGCCTCTTACAGTGGGATGTGGAGAATATCAGAACTTCTTGGGTATGTGGAAAGTGATTAATTTTCTTTTGTGCCAAACCAAGATTTGTTTGGATGGTAGTAACATTATTGTTCTAAGTTTATTTGGGAATTGATAAGTATGTTTTCAGTCTTTGGTACCAAAAATGCAAACATAGAACTCTTACATTGAATCTTGATCTTAAATTGATATTGTTGGCCTTTTTAATATCTTCTTTTCCTGATAACATAGTAAACTTGAGACAGAAAGTTCATCCATTCATTCAGATGATAAATGGACAATAATCTATTCAAATGATATTTAATGACAAATTTATATGAGGAGATACTATTGGGGATGTTTCTGTTTAAAGAAATATATCAACAAAATTTCTTCTCTGTGCTTAATTGCCAAATGTTATTTCATTTGTCTTAGTAAATTACCAATCTTTTCTCCTCTCAGAAATAGGTATCTTTTTTTCTTTTGCATTCCCTGTTTTTACTCAGTCTAACCCATGCCTCTTACAGTATCCTCTATCCCCTTCCCAGTTTCATAAAATAGTTGTCAAGTTCCAAACAATATAAAAGAAAGGACACAAACCTGGTCTGTTGCTGCCTTCTTTTATTAACTTCCTGGCATGTACTGACAGTCTCTGTTTAATCTTTTGTTAGGGCTACATGCCCATGCTCCCTGCCACCTTTTATACAATAAACACCACCCCTCCCATCACCCAATCATGCGCGTCTTTCCTCCCACGTGTCCCAGAGTAATTACTCTCAGCATTAAGCCAGCATAATAGATACACCCCCAGCTTGCCTGCTTGCTAAAACCTCTATCTAATCGTCTGGGTTCTCCCTCCTCCAGCCCCCACACACTGCCTTTCAGGGCTCTTTCAGCCCTCTCTGCCATCCTGGGTGATGTCATCGCCACGCCCCTCAGCTGTTTGGCAGCTACGTGGCATCCCAGCAGTTCGGCAGGATTTCTCGGCTGGTTGGATTCCAGCTGCTTCTGACACAGGTGGGGTTTGGCGTGGCCCCAGAGCTTACATCTCCCAATGTCGTGGCAACGTTTTGGCTGCGCTTGGTGGGATGGTGACTGTGCTGGATGTTGGGCACGTGGATCCCTCCGAATGGCAGCTCCAGGCCGGCTGGCCCGCCGGAGCTGACAGTAATGGTCTGATAACTCTACTTGTATCCTAATAGATTGTGTTATTCTTCCATCAGCCCTTATCTCTATCCCTGCCCCAACTGTAGGAAATATTATCTTGGGATTTCACTAGAAGAAAATAGAAAAGTAAGCACAGATAGGAGAATAATTCAGCAACTTTTACTACCAATCTATGTTGTACTTTAAATCCATTTGTCTTTCTGCACAACTCCCATTCAACATCCATGATAGTTGTTTGCTATCATATACAATTTGTCTCCTATTTGACTGGAAACACATGGAAGTCTCACTACGTTTTTCGATCTAAAGATGTTTAGGACCCTCAGGATACTCTCGTATTAAGCATGCATTTTGGAAAGCACATCTTGGTTTTCCTTTGATCATGTTGGTTTCTGAATAGAACTATGAGAAGGCATTTGGTACCATGTCAGATATTTGAATGATTGATCTGTAATGGAAATTGATTTTTGAAACATTCTTGAGAGTAGATCATCTTCATACCCTAATTTCACGAAGTTTCTATCTTCTAATAGTTGGGATCATTTTCTTCCATTTTATCAATAGCCTTTCACTTTTAAGATATTACTTACTTCTGATATTTTCTGAAGGCTTGATCCATGTCCCTCATTCATTAGATGGTTGACTCTTATTCTAGATCAGCTTTCAAGGGATGCTCTAAGATACAGTATAGTCCTTGAGATAATCAACTTTTATGTTAGTCAAGTTATAACTTTATAAGTAATTGAGGAAGCAATTGAGAAAACTGGCTGCTTCTTTTGCATGGGGTTCATAACCAGGAGACAAACTAGAAAGATTGTTCCTGGTCATCTCACCAAAAATCATTATACACCAAAAGCTAGCATGATTGGGACAGAACAACTATTTTAGATCTTTAGGGTGCAGGATAATATTTTTATGGGGAAACATCCTGTAGTTTGAAGTAACCAGGAACATGTTTCTGCTTCTGGTTTTTGTATTAGATCAAGCCAAAAGCATGATTGGTAAACCTTGCTTTCCAGAAGATTCCAGAGTTTGACAAGGCTCCTTCCCTATTAATATGAATACCAGAGACCTCTGGAAGAACTTCATTGCCTGTTGGTAGCTTTCATTTATCAAGTAATCAGTTTTGTGTGTTAAATTCCTTTCTTCATTCTGAAATTTACTATGTAATGAATGCTAATATTTCTCTGTTTGGCTTGATGTAACGATAAATGCTTATAGTGTAATTGCAGAGAATAATTTCATGATCTGTTTTATGCTATATATTCTTTTGTTACAATTTTTTAAAGAAACTATTTTTGTTAATATAAAAGTAAATATTTCAGAGTAAAATTTTTAAACTTTATTGCACTAAATGCAGATGTGGAGAGAAAAAAAAAGGAATGCCTCAGTAGTTGAATCACTCCAGAGAATCTTTTGGGAGAAGAGCTACTGCTCTAGGTAAGCTTAGCTAACAGTTATGAAAATAGGTGTAGAGACAAGGTGACTGGCTACCAGTGTTTTTATATATGGCTGTTTTGATTCTGTGCTTCCTTTCAAAGGATGAGACCTTTTCAAACTGCTGCTGAATGAAACATAGCATTCTGTATTAACTGGTGGTCTTTGCTGTGTAACTAAATGCTTCAGTTAATTTTTATAAATCATATAACATCTCAATCTTTTCAGGCTACTTGCAATAAAATTCAGGACAGTTTAAAAGAAGAATAATCTTTTCTGTCAGTCACATAATCCAATTATGAAACTATAATTTTAGCAAACTAGATTAGCCTCTGTTCCTGCTAACATGCTGATTTTACCAATGTGAATTATGCCATGAAATTTCATTTTAAGGTAGCTGACACAAATCAAGGTTTGAAATGCACGTCTTAGCAGGAACCAAGGTACTAGTCTAGGCTTAATCTAGAGCACTGCTTTAAATCTCTTTTAATGTAAATATTACATGTTACTGTAATGATATTGGAGGAGAATTATGAGGAGGAGCCTTAATATACAGGAGGAAGTTTTGTAGCTTTGCCCTGGCACTTAACTTCAGATGTAGATTGTTGTAAGTTACTGAGGTGATATTTATTGTGAAAGAAATCTGGATTTAGCAGATTGAAAACCACAGCAATTGGACCACAAACAGAAAAGGAATGGCAAGACACTTAAGTAGCTCCTCCAAGGTTATCTGCCATCGAGTTCTACTTCAACAATGACTCAAGATAGGAGACCTGGATTAGACTCACCACTGACATCATCACAATTCCTGCATTCCAGGTTCCACAAACTTGTGTTCCCTGCTTGCTGAAAGCCTTGAGAAAGGAGATGCTTTTGGGTTTGAACTTGCAACTAGAATTGTAAAGAGAAACAAATTTTTGTATTTTTGTATACCTTGATTGTGCAGCATTTTTATATACAGGTCCTGTTTTACAAATAAAATTGGTTTCTTAACCTGGTGTTTAAAACGTTTTATGGGTATTACTTCTCTTAGGAGCTGTGATCTTCAAGATGAACATGTCCCCTATTTTCTGGCAGAAAGATATACTTCAGGCTGGTAGTACCTGGAGACTTCTGAGATATTTTACCAAGCATGAAATGGCACCTGATTGGTCAAATTAATTGCTTAAGCAATGATATATTTAGGCAGAACTCAGTAAAATAGTGTTATCCTCTGGTAAGGGGGGGAGGGGGCAATAAAATTTACAAATAAATAAATGCAATTGGAATTGCTTTTATGAAGATCCAAGCTAATAGCTTTGCAAAGCATAAGGATGCTTCTAACATTTTAGTAGTAACCAAGAAGTAGCAAGATTTTCCTCTAAACTATTTTTACTTTGAAATGCACATTTTCTCATTTGGAATAAATCTCATAAATTCATTAATAAAATTATTTCCCAGCTGGGTACATTACTAGTTCTAATCAGTTACAATTCCATTAATTCTGTTTAGTCTTCCATAAGACTAATGGAACATGATTTTATGATGACACGCTACAGTGATCCAGCAGCAAAATTTAATTTTCATGCATGTCCTGAAAATGTCCTGTCCCATTTTTTTTTTCTCAATTGGATTCTTAATTCTTGCAATATAACTAACTGGTGATACCAAAAACAGTGTATATGATTTTGTAAGTGATTTAATCAAGTATTACATTTTTTAAAAAATTCAATATTCTCAGTTAAATTAAACATTTGGTTTTAAATAATCCTGATATTAAGGAACTCTAGTTCCTTGGCTTATTTCTTTAAAATATTTTCTCATTTCTAGTGTTGTTTTAATGGTTAAGTCCCTGAGTTCACATTCTTCTGATTATTCTAGGAAACAAAATTGTTAGACAACTTTGTTCAATTTGGACTCAAGAGAAAGGGATGCAACTTCCATATTGTTTTACGCACACCACAGTACTTTGACACAAAGTTTTTTTTAAGACAACTCGATTTCTCTTCAGATTGTAACTATCTTTCATTCTTGCTTTGGCCAGATTACAAAACAGGAAATTTTGATTTGATTATCTTCCTACTTTGTTTCATTTGTCTGAATAATGCTTGTTTTAATAGAACTCTCTCTGCCCTCTAAAGGTCTCAGCATCTTCATGGGCTGGTAAAGGTCCTATCCCCTGTAAAATAACAAGCTCTTGTAAAAGCCATGGAAAATCATCTCCATTGTTTTAGATGGGATTTGCTGAAATTTCTCCAGCACTGAACATGGTTTGGATTTCGAAGCCAGTTGGAGGATTTTTCACTCTAGTGCTTTATGCTTTCCAAGTTACATTTGTCATCTCTTCCACTGTTGATTGTTTCTTTTGCTTCCTAGCTGAAAAATTGGAGCAAGGCAAATGGAAGTTTTTCCTGCTCCCTTTAAGAAGCCATTATGCATTCATGCATTTATGGGGATTATATACAAGCATTCTGAAAGATATCGTGAAATGGGGATGGTTTTTATTCATCTTGAGCAACCAAGATTTTTTTTTTTTTTTTGCATTTGGTGCTGCACACTATGGAATCAGTTATTCTTAAATGAATTTATATTTCACCTATCAAATATTCTAAATTAGAACACACTATCTATTCTGGAAACAGGCATTTTGTACTGACTACATAGTGTAAACCAGAGATCAGAAACTACAACTTCACGTACCATTGGGAATGTTGAGTAGGGCTCCTGGAAATTGTAATTTACAAAAGAATAAAGGACCACTACTTCTTAATTTATTATGTATTTTTTTTATGCTGCCCATCTCCCCTATAATTTCTATTTTAAAGAAAACTGCAGGCAAGAGTAACATTCAATCAGGTGAGTAGACTTCTACTACAATAAAAAGCTTCCCTGTGTCAACCTTGAATCTGACCTGGCTGTGGGGTTGTTTCTATCGGGTTATTCTCACATGAATTCAGGTTGACACAGTTTGGAGCTGAAGGGAAGAGAGCAGAGGTGGATGGAGTCTTCAGCAAAAAACAACAGTTAACCAATGAGTCAGATGCATTCCAATGGCTGGCTGGCCAGAGGAGGTGGAGAGAAGTCACCAAGCAATCAGTTCTTGTCACAATTGGACAGTGTGACATTGTTTTGGAAAAATGAGAAACATTAAGTAGGGTGGAAAGTGGGGGAACTTTTAGTACTGGCTTTCCACCAGTTCGTGCCAAGATGATGTATCTAAATAAATTTGTTCTTTGAGGAAACGGAATGCCTTGGAGTTTGATTTGTGATGGGTACATTAATTGGAAGCTGACACCCTGCTCTTGAGGTTACTTTGCCCCCCCTACCCCCCGGAAAAAAACACTGGGGGGAACCATGAGAAAACAACAGATTAAGAAAGCATCAACTTTACTTATGGATACCATTTCATTGGCAGATATAGCTGAAGAAAGTCCAGTAAGAGTATCGGTCAATGACCAGTAAAAAGAAGTCTATAAAAACACAGACACAGTTGGATTCCAATTGGAGAAGGATTTATGAGGGGGTCGGCTGTCACCAGGAAAAAAATGTACAACAGTCCTTCAAAATTTGTGAACCCTTTTGATTTTTCAATCATTCTGCCTAAATATGATCTAAAATGCTCTGTTCTTCACAGGAGACCTTCAACTAGATAAAGTTTTAAGACTAGATAAAGATACTTTTATGTTGAAGGTAGTGCTACCCTACTCTGCTCAAATCTGCAGTTTTTAAACTCTATTTAATCCTCCTCATTTTAATTATTTTTATAGTTCTATTTTTACTACATTGTAAGATACCCAAAGTCACCTTGGGCAGCTTGCAATATAATAGAAATAGAAATGTGAAAACAATTAGAGATGTAAGAACAATCTTAGTTATAAAGTGACTTATGAAGTCACTTTGGATAGTGAAATGAGCGGCATATAAATTTAATAAATAGAACCCACTTAAGTCAAAATAATACGTAAGTCATTTATTGAGGAAATGATCCAAAGCTACATATATGTGTGGCAAAATTATGTGAACTTGTATTTTCACTAACTTGGGTGTCTCCCCACTTTCATTGTACAAGTACATTCACAAAGTCTGAGAAAGATTACTGCACCTTGCTTGGATCCATAGAATTGCAGCATCTAAATCTTAGCCACATCTTCCAAAAGATGTCCACCAAGAATGGCTCTTGAATTTAGCTTTGCAATAAGCAGCTAAAGGTTCTCATCGCAGAAGGCCCACTCACAGCAGCAATCCATCTGTGTGTGAGCAATTTTGCCTTCTAAGTGCCATGATAATTAGTACAAACAATAATGAAATGGCATGAAAACTATTTTGGTGGTTCAGGATAAAAGAGGAGTAATGATGAAAGGCCCAGATGACCAAGTGAATGTCACAAATAGGCACAGCTTCAAGTCAAATCTGACAAGGCTGGTGCACCATGGTGTTTTCAACTCCAAAGCATAATTTCACAGGTTTTTTGGTTTAGTAATCACAGGGTCTGATTATGCTAAAAATCTAGTAGAATTGAACAAAATCTAACTAAATTGCTCAATTAGCCAATCATTGCTTTCCAAGTGGGCATGAAATAAAGAGCTTTCAGCTTTTGATGGCAATTATTGCCCTAAAACTGAAGCAAGAAAGAAAGGAGAGGGAAGAGAGCAGTGAATACCTTTCGGAAAGGCTTCTGAAGTGCTGAGTCATACTGAAATATTTTATCGAGACAGATAGAAGGTAAACTATCCTAGAATGTCCAGAGAACATACCAACCAGGAAATTGAACAAGGACTTTTCAATCTTCCAACTAGGTAATGTTCTTCACCTAAATACAGATAAATTCAGGGCCATCTTGTGAGTAGACTCATGATGCTGTTCAAATTTTGGATTGGCTGGGTCGTTTTCCCCTTCCCTATTTTGGTATTAGGAAGGGCATGATAGTTCAGCAGTTAAAGACCCTGAGTTTGTCAGCTGGAAAGCTGACAGTCCGGAGACCTGAGTGCTGTGTGATGAGGTGAGCTGCCACTACTTGCCTCTGCTGCTGCCCACCTAGTAGTTCGAAAGCATGCAAATGCAAGTAGATAAATAGGTACCACTTCAGTGGGAAGGTAACAGCGTTCCATGCTTTTTTTTTTTTTTTTTTGCTTTTTGCTTTAATTTATATGCCGCCCTTCTCCGAAGACTCAGGGCGGCTTACAATGCGTTAAGCAATAGCCTTCATACTTTTGTATATTTATACAAAGTCAGCTTATTGCCTCCACAATCTGGGTCCTCATTTTACCTACCTTTGAAAGGATGGAAGGCTGAGTCAACCTTGAGCCTGGTGGGATTTGAACTTGCAGTAATTGCAAGCAGATGTTAATAACAGTGCATTAGTCCACTGTGCTATCAAGCTCTTAATGCGCCTTAGTGTATAGTCATGCTGGCCAATGCTGGAAAGGATCTTCGAACAATGGTGCCTCCCTCGGCTAAGAAACAGAGATAAGCAACGCTCCCTAGAGTTGGACACAACGGGACAGGGGAACCCTATATTTTGTAATGTTGGTATTATCCTGCCTGGTGAAGAGATCTGAAACACTGAAAGTTTTTCATTCTAGTTCATGCTAAATTTACATTGACTGATTAGATTTAGTTGCAAGCCTATCCCCACTGAATTTGAAGAAAGCTAAACTTGACTTATTTATTGCTTTATAATTATCTAGGATTTCATCCATGACCTGAACTCACTGAATAGCTTCTGCTTTTCCCCCCATTTCAATGTGGAATCAACAATATTGACTCAATATTGACTCAATAAAAATATGAAAAGAGAATATATATGAAATATTTTAAATACCAATCCCCCCGCCCCCCCAGGTCAAATGAACTTAACAAAATTTACCCACCACCTTTTCTTTCTGGACTTCAGTCTCAGAAAGAAAAAAAAATAGCTTGGAAAGAAAATAGCTATTTCAGTTAAAAACAAGTCTTACTTAAAGATTAACCCAATTTGGAGTCAGACATACCATGTTTCTCCGAAAATAAGACCC